TTCTGGAATCTCCAGGGCAACTTCGCATTGGGCCACTTGCACGTCGATCGCTCGCACCACATATTCTCGTCCTCAACGCTACTTCTACATCGTCTTCTGTCTCAGCCACCGTTCGCATCCATTCTCCATTTTTTTCCTTTTGCTTCCTTTTCCAAGGCGCGTACTTTAAATGCACACTCCCTTCATCACACAGGCCTGCCTTTCATTTAAGTTTTTTTTTAGAAAAAAAAACTGTTGTTACATTCACATTTTGCACTACCCACAAATTCAGCACATATATGTCCACGATACAGTTCTCTACATTGTCCAAATGTCCTGATTTCCAAACACTAAGTATATGAAAGGGAAAAAGTAATGAAACACATGTAATGAATTCCGAAGGTCCTCACGCACACCAAAACTCAACTGTTCAATACATCCCCCTTTTCTTTTTACCTATATACCTTGTCATCCCAAAAACATATACGTCAAGTCACACGTCATATTACATGTAAATTAATAACCCCAAGATTTTAAAAAATATCATTCCGTGGTCTGTTATCAATATCCAAAAGAAGCCACCTGGAATTCAGACTCGATGCTTAAGTTATAGCATCTCAAACAAGACGTTTAACCGCCCTAACCATTTGGCTAAAAGCAAGAACTGGATGGCCTTGAAATAATGTTCGCTCGTAGGTTCGCCTTGATCTACAGCGAGCGGTGGTCTCGGCAGGTGTTGCGGGCAAACAGACGAGGCGGCAACTGCGGGCATCACGGCGAGCGCACAGCAGGTGAGGGAGAGAGTGATGTCGGTGCTCACTGCGAGGGGAGCGTTACGTCAACGCGCAGCAGCAGCGTGACATACTTGGCACCACACCAACACCTCTGGCACGCGGCGCGTTTGTACAGAGGGGCAGCATTGCACAAGCTAGTGAAAGAGCTGCTTAGCATCTAACTACTATCTCCCGCTAAAGGGAACCATGTGCAGATGCCAAGCAGCAGGTGCTAGCGCTTACACTGGTGGCGGTGTTACATGCGCTGACGCTGGCGCTCATCGCGGCGTTGCTCCAAGCGGAGCCAGAAGTACGAAGATTAGACAAGTGTACTATCTATCATTCCCATGCTCGCTGAAGCATCCTGTGTTGCAGCTTCAATAGGCACTAGTGCTAGAGTTGTCTCTAGTGTATTTATAAGACGGGGTGGCCAGTGAACTAATGTGCAGCGTGAGAAGTCGGTTTTTCTAATAAAAAATTATGAACCATCTCCCCGAAGGGAACCATGATGGCATGCGAAACAGCAGTGGTGCGCACGCCTTTGACTCGGCTGAAACTGGTGTCGACGCGGGTGCTGGAAGAACGGTTTAAAGCAAAACTGTGTATCCTTTACGCGAGTGAACGTTTATTTGAAACGCAAAAATATGGGAGCAGGCTGGGTTTCTTGTGCTGCGGCGGCAAGCGGATCTTATAAATGTTATGAGACACTTCACATTTAATAGCATATATTTGCACTCGTCAAGAATGACGGACCCGGAAGTGGCGAGAGCCTGCGAAGTGGGATTTAGATGGAAGCGCCGGCAAGCGGATCTTGAGGCAGCGCCCAAAGCTTACGGTGTAAAGTTTGCTAAAATTAACCAGAGAGAATTCTGGTCTGTGATCGTTGAGCAACCATTGGAATTATGGGTATGACATGGATTTGGATTTGTCTAGCCTTTGTGCTTGCGGGTGGAGAACGCGCGTGTGGCTTCGTTTATTGCTGTGTTTTGGTTTTGTTTCGAAAGAAAGAATAAACCTTGTTTCATTTCGTGACCTTATTTGAAGTGGAAAGCCTAAATGAATAAGGTTGTGAATCATAGCTGCCGAACATTTGCCCATTGTTTCGCAGCAAAGCAGCTTCAAGCCACAAGAAGCCAGAATGAACATAGTGTGAAGACTAAGCTAATCCGCGTCATAACCATAATTTCTATGCTTGCCGAAGCGCTATGCATTGCAGCTCCCATAGACACTAGCACCAGCGTTCTTTCTAGTGTATATTTTGAAAACTTTATGGCTTTTGCTGCTATTTGTGGTGACCAGTAAAATAGCTTTCTGTGTATACTGTACCGTCACGTCTTTACATGATGATCGATTGGGAAAAATGTGTGGAGGATTCACAGTTCACCTCCGGACCACTTATCACCATTGACCTCCGGGATGTGTAGGTATTTTTTATTGCAATAACAATTATATGGACATTCTCGCCTGATTTTTGACGTCGCTGTCATGTCTACGATAGGTATATGCAAGTATATATCTATAAAAGGCACAAAAATAAATCGGAAGAAAAAGTTCGAACCAGTGACTTGTCGCTCCTCAGCTCGCTGCATTGACCTACTATAGCCACGCCGCTCACACTATCCGTCTAACTAATAGTGAGCTATGTATATACACCATTTACCACTGGCTCACTGTCAATAAACTCAAAAGAAACATACTTGAACAAAGTATGCACAGTTGAACGCGATTATATCGAACTCGTAAGTTATCCCCATGAAATTCCTTAGTAAAAGCGTAAAAATTCGCGGCAGTGTGGCTCCGCACGCGAATTGGAAGACGCGTTTTGGCACTTGCACACCCGGTGGTTTCCGCGCGGCCCACACCTTCGTCAAAACCCGAAACACTCGAAAAAAGGTTAGAGCGAGAGGGTTCAGACTGCACAATTACCAACTTGGGGAACGCCCCCCCCCCCCCTTTTTTTTTTCTCTTTCTCATGTTTTCTTCGCATACACGTCGGCTCGGAGAGCAGGAACGAAGAAGCCGACGTCCTCCTCCTTTTGCCTTTTTTAAATTTGCTTATTTATTTTTTGCTGTTTTACGAGGTTTGATCAGCCAACTACAGCTCGTGCCTTTTGCCTTTGCCCTCGCAGGTGGCCATCGCCTCACAAGCGCTTTGTTGCTTCCGCTGTCGCGTCCCTTACGTACCATTTCATGTGCAGCATTGCTATTTTGCATTCGTGTTGTGCGAAAACCGCTGCGGACTCCTTGAGTTGTCGACTTCTCATGTAGCTATCACCAGCGTCAAGAAGCGCAAGACTTTGGACCTTGGAAAGGAGTTGAAGGCTATTCAGTCTGTTGAGGTGGGTGAGAAATGTTCGACCGTTGAGGACAACTTCGGATATCACAGAGCACTCTGAGTATTTTGTTGAAGAACAAAGCAGATATCAAAGCAAAGGCGGTGGAGCAGTGAACGTCGGGAGCCTGTCATGTGCGCGGTTCTGCCTACGGGAATGTAGAAAAGGCACTCTGTGCCTGGATTTTAAAAGTGAGCGTGACGAACATTCCGGTCGATGGCCCAATGCTGACACCCAAGGCCATATAGTTTACTGCTGCACTCCTACACCGGGTGGATTTTGATCTGAACAGCGCTACTACATCGTTGGCAAAGCCAATTCTGGCGAAAGCGAAGCTGTCAGCAGCCAGGACAACCAGCTATGGATGACAAAGAAGAGGCCGGAAATCTTCGCGAAGTTTTCTGAAGATTTTTAATGGAGATATTTAATGCCTGGCGACACGTGAAGACGGACATGGTGGTCAGCTGCTTCTGCAAGGCAGGTTTCGAGATGCCGTAACTTGCGTAAACCTGTGAAAACGACGACGACAAGCGCAGAGAAGACGCGTTTTGCAAGTTGTCGTTCCGCTTCCCGGCAGCAGTTTCACACGAAGTGTCTGCACACGACTTCGTGGAAGCGGACTGCGATGTTCAGGTCATTGTGAGCCTCGCTGACGAGGACATCGTAGCTGCAGTCGCAGGGACCCAGGATGCGCAGGCCGAGAGCTCAAGTAACGAGGATCGTCCGGAAGAGGCGCTGGCTTCGCATGTGTAATCTGCCGCTGAAGTAGCGGTAGGGTTCGGCATCATTTGTCGTTTTATTGGCGACATGGAGGGAACTGGACTGTCGCGCCTAAACAGCCTTGGTAAGATAGAGACTAGCGTCTTCAACTTTATTTCAAAAATGAAGAAGCAGGCCAAGATAAGCGATATTAAAATATTCTGTTGCGGCATGTGTGCGGTATTAGTTGTAATTCTTGAATGCACCTATTGTAGGGGATGATGCGCTACAAGTAAGCTCTCAAGGCCTCTATTTTTCTATATCAAATTTTTCATATATCGAACTAATTCGCGATCCCCTTCGAGTTCGATATATCCCTGTTGGTCTTTTCTGTGTTCAAACAAGCCATAAATGCTTTCTCTAAATATTGATATATCCAAAAGCTTGATCATTGGAGGGGTGGGTTCACTGGAAGGGTCATTGTAAAATGTCTGTAGCTCCACTTTCGCTTTGAAGCAACAGGAAAGATTGCTCCTGTCAAGTCCAAGACTATTCTAGAAACTGCTGATCCTGTCGTGCCTGTGAATTCGATGCCCATCGAAATGTGCGCCTCCACAACCACTTAAAAAGGGCTGTCTCAGATGACCACTCACTGCCTCAGATGAGTTTTGGTGACACTTGCGTCGTTAAATCATTGCAAGGCTTCGTTGTTGCAACAGCGTACATCTCACCAGGAACCTTGTGGACTAACGTCATGAAGTTTTTGATGTACAGCTTGTGCCAGTGATAGTCACTCACTGGAGACTTCAATGTTAATGTACCTCGAGGTGAAAACCAGGGGCTTGGCGCATTTGTCGATGCTGAACTTGGGCTTTGCCTCCTGTCGGACGTCACGCTGTCAACTATTCACAACACCACCTGTTTAGATATTGTGGTTACTGCATTAATGTCAATTCAGGCACAATCGACCATGTTCAGTATATTTTGTATGGTTTCTCTAAATCTCCTAGCTTTACTTAATATAACAGCCCGATGTATTCGTATCGCATTCGTCGCTTCGGCTTTGCGCCGAAACTATAAAGCCATCACTTGTTAGTCAGCACCAGTGTTGTGAAGTTTTCTGTATCATTCCTTTTTTGCACTGTTTCGAAATGCACACACAATGCTCTCTATCCGCATTCACGCCTACCTGATCATTCCATTACTCCTTTTTCAGGTGGGAAGACTGATCTTACAGGCTTCTGGCCACTCTAACCTCAAGAAAGTTTCACTCGAGTTGGGTGGAAAGAGCCCCCTTATCATCTTTCCTGACGCAGATTGTAAGTTGTTATCGATGCTTCCTTTGTGTTCTAGGACGTGTCAATTTACACTTTGAACGATCCCTCTTATTAAGAAAGGATAATTTCAGGTTATACCGCAGGCCTAATTGATTGAACATAATCATTGGACATTTACGATAAAGAGCCTCAGATAGTGAAAATCAATCAAAAGTCTTAACTATGGCCTGTGTCGTAACGAGATCTTCGTTTCGGCATGTAGAAGCTGCGAATTAAGCAACTGCCGAGCTGTATACCTGTGACTAACGCAATTCGAAGACCAGGGAAGGCAGAACGGTATTTGTTGCATACATTTGTATTTATGCTTGAGATTTTTAACAAAAAAAAAAAAGAATAGAAGCCCGTAAGGTTTGGGGAGCCCATGGAATCATGGGGAGGCCATTATCGCCGGTCAGGGTTGTCAGGTTGAAACGACCGAAAAGAGCCAGAAAATTGAGAAAGCTAGCAAAAAAAAAAAGCCAACTTGAGCCAAGGTGAAAAGTTTAGCCTAAGGTATACATACTCGCGCATCTGTGAAAACTATGTCCACATTTTTATTTAAATGGCTAATGCAATAGTGCTTCAGCAAAAATTTACGTACGTGCAGCATGAACACTTCAGAGTCATGATTCCTTAAGAAGGTATGTGCCTTTCAAAACGAACTTTACTGTTTCTTGTTGGATGTTGATGAAAATTGGCACAGACACTAAAAATGGCCTCGCAGTGCTTCCATAAAAATTTCGAGGCAATGACACAAATACCTAATGAGATACAAATTATTTCTTCATTGAGCTTCGTAGAGGGGCTGGCCGATTTATAAAATGACGAAAATAGTTGGTAATTACTGAATGCACAGCCTAATGTATGCTGAAGGGGACTGCGTTTCTAAGATAATTTTTTTTTTTTTGAGAAACCCTACAAAAATTTCTTAAAGAGTAAAATGAAAAACTAAAATTGTAGCCCCCTGAAGCACAGTTCAAGGAGCGTTACAAAACAAATGGAATCAAAATCTGTGCAGTGGTTGCCAACATATCTGCTCCACGAGCCAAGCATAATGCCAAAAAAAAAACAGTATTGAGAAAACTGCATTTTAAGTTTCACCTTCTTTTTACGTTTCTAAAAAACCCAAGAATTGTGATCTTAGGTTTGTCTTGTGATATTTGACTTCTCAGGCATCTGGCCTCTGCCCAGTATGCCTTTGTTGCCTATATATTTTTTTATAACCTTTTTATTTTATCTACAAAGAACAAGTATGGATTTCAAACTAAGTTCTCTGTATTGCCACATTCCTTTCTCAAGCTTTGTTATTGCCCCGTTACACCACGTTCAGCCTAAACCGTGCCTACAATGTTTAAGAAGCTTCGAGGCTGTAGTAAATCATCTTGTTAAGACTCCGTCCACTTTGTGAACATGACAAATTTTTCTGGAACCTACGTCGCCACTAGCAATAAAGCTAGAATATTCGATGGCAAGGGTATAAATGCCGACACGCTGCGCTGCTTGTCAGTTGATCGGTGGTCAACGCTGCATTTGCCGCAATCAGTGCAAGTGTGCTACTGTGACCCGACTTTCCGTTTACCGGGCACAGGTTCGCCCTAATAAATAGTTTGATCGGACCATCCAGTATTCTGCCTTCAGACATGTCACGAACCCGTGACATCTGGTGGAGGTGCTGCTTCGTTCATGTATGCTTCGTTCAGCCCCCATCAAGCCGTAAACTCGGCACACGTCACGGAGAAGACATTGATGCCAACCAGGAGCAGCGAACAAGCCTCCGGCAGCAAGGTCTACCACAGGAGTACGGGCCTCTACAAAACAAGGCACGAAAGACCAAGACCACGATCTCGACTGTGGCGACAATGTTAACCGCTGCATCACGGCACGCGATCTTCATGCATCAACCCAGGGAACCACCAACTTTCCGCGGGTCATCGTTCGAAGACCCGGAGACATAACTAAAGACATACGACCGCGTGGCCGCCCTCAACCACATGGACACTGAAGAAAAGCTCCATAGCGTGTACTTTTACCTGGAAGACACCGCAAAGACCTGGCTCGAAAATCTGGAGTCTGCGCTTCAAACGTGGGATGTCTTCGGCGGCGCATTCCTACAACCGTTTGCGAGCGTCGCTCGCAATGAGAGGGCCGCTGCTTTGCTAGAGAGCCGGGTGCAGCTACCAAATTAAAATGTTGCCATTTTCACAGAATGAATGAGCTGCCTGTTCCATCACACTGACCCGAACATGCCTAAGAAGAAGAAAGCTCGTTTCCTCATGCGAGGGGTCATACAGGAGCTCTTCGCGAGATTGACGAGAAACCCACCGAAGACCGTCCAAGAATTTCTAACAGAAGCGACAACTACTGAAAAAACCCTCGAAATGCGCACACGACAGTTCAACCGCTGCTCGGCTACAGGCTATGCAGAAATACAAACATTATGCTTCGATGATCTGCCCGAAACCATAGGGGCTGTAGTGCGCGAAGAACTGCGCCGAATCTTCCCGTCATGTCAGCCTCAAGTTCCATAGATCGCAGACATCGTCAGAGAGGAAATTCAGCAATCAATGGGTATCCCTGAGACATCGCATCCGCAACCTCAAGTCATGAGCTATGCTGCTGCAGCCCGCCGTCGCACCCCTCTGCCACGCGCACGTCAAGGACCCGCCCCGTCGCACTTCCGCCGCGAGATGCCGCCACTACCTCTGACATACTACCATTCGCCAGCGGGCCAGTGCAACACGCCGAGAAAACCCGACGTTTGGCATACGCCTGACAACAGCCCGCTCTACCACCACTGCGGTGAGGCCGGGCACACCTACCGTCATTGCCAGTATCGACAGATGGGTCCAAGGGGGTTCGACATCTATGCGCCATGTCCACAACTGGGTGAACGACCGTATAACATCGCCGACTACTTTGTGGGAGCGCAGTCGACACCCTGACAACCCTATCGTTCGCTGTCGCCAGGCCGCTACGCCTTACCACACCGCGGGCGATACAGCAACCCTGTTCGGGGTCGATCTCTGAGCCCTTACTCGGGAAAACTAAGCGCAGCAACCGATAGAGGTGCGGTTGCTGTACGACGAACTACTCAAGATACTCCGGCACTGACGACTATGCCGCCACCACGAAATCGAAAGCACCCGCCGCAAAACGAAAAGGGTCTTGACGTCAAATCTTCGCAGCCCGAAGAAAACGTAGCCATGATCCGATGCCACGACCAAACCGTAACGCACGACGACGAACCAGCGACCTCGCCGTAACTTTTGACGGCCACCTTGTCACTGCGTTCGTCGATACTGGAGCCGACTATTCTTTCATCAGTGGGTCTTCCGTGACGAAGTTGAAAAAAGTGAGGACTGCATGGCAAGGCCCCGAAATTCAGACTGCTGGGGGTCACTTAATAACACCGACTGCAGTCTCTACAGCTAGAGTCATCATCAATAACCAGACTTTTACTGCGCGCTTTGTAATCTTACAAAATCGCTCCAGGGATGTGATACTTGGAATGGACATTCTAAGTCAACACGGTACTGTCATTGTCCTGACGTCTGAGCCAATCACACTAACCTCAGAAAACATGCTGCCGACCCCTACAATGCAAAAAAATCACGTATTGAATGTGCTATAAGAGCAGGTCACCATGCCGCCTTCCTCCAGCGTCATTTCCGTTGGCACCGGAAAAGCCAAAAACCTTGAAGGCATCGTCGAGGGCGATCAGCACCTTCTTATAAACCGTCAGACCTGCGTCACAAGAGGCATAGCTGAGCTGCATTACAGCAAAGCAAAGGTGGTGCTGACAAACTTCAGTCACAAATAGAGGCACATTAACTGTGGTATGACGGTCGCCTACATCGATGAATTCGTAGAGGTCAGCACTTCACTCTCTCTCTTCAATGCTCCCGATGCTGCTTCGACGAATCGAGTTTCCGAACCAAATTTCGACATCAACCCGAGTCTTTGGAAGTGCAAGCAAGGCCAGCTCAAGTCCCTGCTCTTGCGATTCACGGACTGCTTCTCGTCATCATTGAGAATTCGACAAACCCCAGTTGCGAAACATCGCATCATAACAGAAGAAAGTGCCCGACCAGTTTGAGAAATCCCGTACCGAGTCTCGACGCACAAACGCCACGCCGTGAAGAAACAAGTTGACGAAATGCTACGCGACGACATTACTCAGTTGTCCAAGAGTCCGTGGGCGTCACCCATGGTATTAGTAGAGAAGGACGGGACCCTATGTTTTTGCGTCAATTACTGCCGCCTCAACAAAATCACAAAGAAGGACGTGTAGACGACGCCCTGGACCGACTCCACAACACAAAGTACTTTTGCTCGATGAGCCTCAAGACGGGCTACAGTTGATGAACACGTGTATATAGAACCCACATATATCGAATTTTTGGGTATATCGAACTTGCAAGTTATCTCCTTGAACTTCCTTTGTAAAAGTATGAAAATTCGCATGTTTATATCGAACTGTATTTTTAGCCGCCTTCGGATATATCGAACGCAGCGGGAGCTGTAAGGTGCGCGCTTCAGCACTTTTCCCTCACCCCCCACTCACCCCGCTATCACCACGGCAGCACGACTAGCGCGGCTCCGCCCGCGAGTTCCGCCCGCGAGCGTCCTCCGCCCGTGTGGCACCACGCCTCCATCAAAGCCCAAAACGCTCGAAAAAAAGGCCAGAGCGAGAGGGCTTGGACTGCACAATTTCCAACTTGCGAAACTCCTTTTTTTTTTTTCATTTCTCTTTCTCTCTGTCTTGCTTCCTTCGCGTACGCGTCGGCTCTGTAAAGGGTAGAGAAGTTGATGATGGCAGGTACGGCTGGTTCTCTTTAAAGTTGCTAGCTCCTCGTCGTCATCCGCATGGCCGATCTTCACTAGTGAGAGGACGTGTTAAGAGAGGTAGAACGAGGATTTGCATTATAGAAGAAAGATAGGAACTGTACAGTGATTCAGAAGGTGCCGCAATATGTACAACAAAGATTCGGTTCATGAATCAG